TATTCTTTATGACTGAATAAAATTCCATTGTATGTAAATACCTCATTTTTAAACCATCAGTTGTGAGGCTTCTTGACTATTTCCATAGCTTGGCTATTGTGAATAACCTTGCAATAAACATGAGTATGCAAGTGTCTTTATCATAACCTTACTTATATTCTGTAGGGTATATCCCTAGGAATGGTATTACTGGATCATATGGTAGCCGTATTTGTAGGTTTTTGAGGTGCCTCCATACTGTTTTCTATAGTGGTTGTGAGGCAGGTAAGACTTAAGAAAAGTTTGGTACTCTTAGAACATATATGACTTAATACTGTATTTCAGGTTGAACATTCTTCTCTTTCTCTGAGCCTTCTTTTCAATTGCAGATGTGTATAGGTTATCCCCACCTAGCACAGGGACCACCCAGCCCCCTCCCACTCATTGGTGTTAGGAATCACCAGGTTCTTCTCTTCTCATAGGTTAACTTAAGTTTTAAAGTACCTGAAAAGAGAAATATGCTGCTTCCAGCTTCCATCTTGTCCCACCATGCTCTTTTTTCATTCCCCTCCCTAACTTTTAATAAAACTCCATTACACCTACGTGTGCTGCCATGGATTCTTCCATGTGGGACACAGAGAATTTGGAAATGTTCCAATCAGAGACTGAATCATTGTGGTTAACAGTTATACTAATTTACATTCCCACCAACAGTATATGAGGGCTCCTTTTTCCCCACATCCTTGCCAACATTTGTTGTTTGTATCCTTGATGACAGCCATTCTAACTAGAATCTTAATGCTGTTTTGATTTACATTTCCCTGATAGCCAGGGATGTTGAGTATTTCTTCATGTGTTTTTTTGTTTTGTTTTGTTTTGTTTTGCCATTTTGACATTTTCCTTTGAAAATGTTCTGTTCAGTTCATTTGCCCATTTTTTCATTGGGTGATTGTTTTTTGAGTGGTTTACTTTTTGAAGTCCCTGTATATTCTGATTATTAATCCCTTGTCATATGTATAGCTGGCAAAGATTTTCTCCCATTCTGTGCACTGCCTCTTCAATCTTGACTATTTCTTTTGTTCTGCAGAAGCTTTTTAGTTTTACATAGCTCCATTTGTCAATCCTGTCTTTTAGTTGCTGAGCCACAGAGTTCTACTTAGGAAGTTATTGCCTGTATCTAGAAGTTCCACTGTATTTCCTACTCTTTTCTGCATTAGCTTAAAATTTTTAGGTTTTATGTTACAGTCCTTGATCCACTTTGAGTTGATATTTGTGCAGGGCAAAAGAGATGGATTTAGTTTTAGTTTTCTGCATGCAGATACCCAGCAACATTTGCTGAAGAGACTGTCTTTTCTCTATCGTATATTTTGGTTGCCTTTGTATAAAGTCCAGTGGACGTAACTGTATGGATTCATATCTGGGTCTTCTGTTCTGTTCCATTGGTCTTCACGTCTGTTTTTGTGCAAGTACCATGTATTGCTATGGCTCTGTAGTGTAGTTTGAAGTCTATCTCCAGTGTTGGCTATTCATGTTGTTTTGTGCTTCTTTATAAACTGTAGGATTGATCTTTTTCACTCTCTGTGAGAAATGTCATTAAAATTTCGATGGGGATTGCATTGAACATGTAGATTGCTTTTGGTAATGTAGCCATTTTCTAAATATTGATTGTGTTGGCCACAATTCTTAAGTCATATAAACAACATCTTCCTCCAACCTGTGCATATTCGTCTTTCTTGGCAAGTCACCTTTTCTGAGCCCACAATTCCAAACTTTTTGTCAAGGTTCTTAGTTGCAGGCCATAGAAAACACTAGCTGAATTAGGGCTAGAGATACATTTTAGCTGGTTAAGGCAGGCATTAGCCTGCAAAATACAAGGGAGAGTTGAATAAAATATACCTAAAGCAGAATCTATGGTAGGAACCTTACTGCAAAAAAGAGGTACAAAGTAGAAAGTACCTGCAACTGAGGAAATAAAATTACCACTGCTGTTTCTGCTGCATGCCATCTACAATGGCGTATGCCATGAGCTCAAAACACCTCTGAAATTACGGCTTGTGAGAAGACACAATTAGTTCTCCTAGTTCTGTGGATTGACTGAGTTTAGTTAGGATACTTCTCACTGTGGGTCTCTCAAGTGTTTGCAGTTAAGTTCAGCTGGTACTAGAGTTATTTGATGACTTCTGTACTTATGTGTCTAGCCCCCTCAGTGTTTCTCAGTGTGGTATCTCTCTCGAGCATCGTATCTTGGATTTACTATGTGAAAAGAAAGGAAAAGGTAGTCCTCTTAAAGTTAAGTCCCAAACTGGCACAGCATGTCTTCACCATATTTTATTGGTCAAAGCAGTTCCGTGTCCACACCAAATTCAAGGAGATAAAGAAATAGACTTCACCTCTCTTTTTTTTTGAAGCTGTTTTCTGCTCATTTTCTTTCTCTTTTTATTATATTATTGTTGTACTGGAGGTACACATCACCTCCTCCATCATTTTCCTTTTACCTCCCCCCCTCCATTCCTGGAATAGTTTCAGCAGGTCTCATTTTTCCATTTTCATACATGAATGCATAAAATTTCCACTATATTAAGCTTCCTTCACCCTTTCCTTATATCTTCCCCTCTCCCACTGGTACCAATCCACAGATAGGACCTGTTTTCCCTTCCTCTTCTCTGTTTTTTAAAGAAGGTATTTTTTAGACTTTACTACTCAATGAAGAAATGGTATGGGCCTTCAGAGAAAAGTTGGTAACATTCAACTTTGTGTAAGCTCTACCACAGACAGTTTAAACAGTGTATGTGTCATCATACAACTTTAGGCCCAGGACTTCCCTGACGGTATAGTCAGAGGACATCACTATGCAACTCCCTCTGAAGGGATAGATGCCATCTTTTATCCCATCCTATCAGGAACAGCAAAGACTCACCCAGACCTAAAGCTGGAAGCTCACAGTGTCTTTCCACAGTAGCACCATGCTTTCAGTGTCTTAAAAAGAACATCGAACACAAGGCATATAATGTGTAATTATATTTTTCACTTTTTCAAAGCACTGTCATTTCTGTTTCCATCCCAAGGGAGATAGTATTCTGTCTTACTGAAGACAAAGAAAAGTGAAAACTCATCTCACTTCATATAAGTGCATAAAGAAAGAGCAGAACAGGATCCAAAATTGTTAATCCCAACATTGGGCTATTGCTGCATCCCAAGATTTGAGTTTTGTGACAACTTGGAGATAACTTTATGATGCATAGAAAAGGTATTTGCATAATTATAGAATCAGTGACTCACATAAAATTAGAAGTCTGCAGTAATCCTAAAGATGTTAAAAATTCACTTCAGTAAACTTGTTTATAGCATGCCTAGGTCTCATAGTAAAAAAAACTGATATAAATATGCAGCTCAAAATAGAATATAATTAATTACAAATATTTAGTACCAACTAAATTACATGAGATGGGATGGAGTATGAACTGGGGTAATCTGAAATGGTTTCATGGAGATGGTAAAACCTGAGTATGGCCTTAAGAAAAGAGAAGGACTTGGATATATTTGTATATGTATATCAGGAGAGGGGTATGGCATAGTTGGGAGTACAGATTTGGTTTGGGAGAGGCTGGAGAGATGGAAGTAATTAGGAAACTGACACTACTGGAGTGAAGATTTGAACTGTGGAAGAAGATAAAATAAAACAAATATATAATAGGGCCCCTATCTTCCAGGCCTAAGGGAAAACTGAACAAGATTGGATAGGAAAAAAGCCTCAATATGGCAAGATCCTCTAGGGGTGTGCTGAGGATAGATCAGAGAGGAAGAGATTCTTGTGGCTGTGAGCTCATCAAGGCTTATAGTGACCATGGTGTACCAAAGAGTGATGAGAGTGAGAATAACTATGCAATATCACAAAGAGAATAACTTAATAGGCTTTGCATTAGTTTGCTAGGGCTGCTGTGAAAGCACCACTCAATGGGTGGGAAATAACAACAGAACTTTATTCTCTCACAGTTCTGGAGGCCCAAAGTCTGAAATCACAAGTGTCAGCAGGGCCATGCTCATTCTGAAACCTGTAAGGGAATGATCTTGCTTTTATATCTTTCTGCTAGTTTGTTGGCAATACTTGTCAAAAATATTTTGGCCTTATAGATGCATCATTCCCATTCTCCATTTTCACATGGCCATATTCCTTCCAACTCTACACATACTGTACATGGTATTCTTTTCATAAGGACACAAATCATGTTGGACTAGGAGTTTTACCAGCTCCAGTATGACATCATCTAAACTATTTATATCTACAATAACCCTATTTTTGAAGTACTGGGGTTAGGACTTCCACATATCTTTTTGGGAGAAGGACGGAATTCAAGCCTTAATAGCCTTCATGACACATTTTATGTCTTAGACAAAGAACTTCAAAATCTTGGGTCTAGGTGACCATGGGCAAGTGAAGAAGATGGGAAGATGTAAAATCTAAAATCTCTTATATTCCCTGGCAGCTCCACAAAGAGAAGGAAACCAGATTTGGAGACCTTTTCCCATTTAGGAATTTGGAGATGGGACTTACTTTGTTCTCAATATATTTTTCCATAATGTTAGCCTAGCTTCTAATCCTGACCTAATAGAGTAGGCGTATTATGTTCAGGAGGAGTTTTATGTAAAAGAAAGCAAGATTTATGTCTTACAAAAGTTAACATGATACTATTCCTTATTTCTTTTCATCATATCATAAGTTAAGTGTTAAATCTCTAGTAATGTAGAATCTCCATACTTTGTTCAACAAGATACATGCAGAGTGTAGAGTATGTTCTGTTAGTGGTTTTCTACCAAGTATGTTATATCATTCTAGGTAATAGAAATAAGTGGCCTTTGAGGGATGAGCCAGTTTTCTGCTTTCGTTGTGGGGGATATAAGTGCTCATCAGAAGGATTAGGTAGTCCTGGGGCAGTCATCAGCAGTTAACCAGCCACCCTGCAGTGTAGAAATGTGCTAGAGTGGACCAATTGCAGCTCTATAGACTCTTTTTTTTTCTCCAGAATCTTCACCAGGTGTAACAGAAGTGACCATCACAGAAAAACCACCTGCTGAACGTCATATGATTTCTTCATGGGAACAAGTAAGTGTTACCATGTGGAGTACTTATCTCCCAACACAGAAAGGTCAACTTAAATGTCCCTAAGAAGGAAGGATCAAGTCAGGAAACCTATTCCTGTGTCAGGCTACAGCTGCCTTCCATTCTATGCCATTTTCCCAACATGAAGTATCTCCTTTGCCCCTGATAATCTAATGAAAGCAATGGATATTTGAAGCTGTATATGACAAAACTAAAAGTCCAGCAAGCAGCAAGGAAAAGAAAAGATGCATATTAGTAAGCATCATGCTGAGCAGAGCATGGTTAAGTGTTGAGATAGCTACTAATCCATACAGATCCACAGCCAGTGCTTCCCAGTTTTCCTCTGATCTATAACTCATTTATTCAATAAATCTGTTAAGCTCCTAAAGTGGTCCAGGCATTGTACTTGCGATTGAGCCCTGGGGATTCAATGGTAATTTTTTAAAAAGGCACCGTTCTTAACTCCTGGTCTCACTGTCTAAGACATAGTACAGATTGTTAGAAGCATAATTACAAATGGGACTGAGTACTGAGAAAGAGAGCTAAAGAGAATTGTCCTGGGATCTGACCTAGTCTAGAGGTTGATAAAAGGTTTTCCCGAAGAAGCTTTGAGGACTGGTTAATCAGGCAGATGGGATCTGGGAACAAGGTGTTCTCAGTCTGTGTGAAGGCTTTGAGATGGGAAGGATGACATTGTTCCAAGATTATAAGAAGGAACACTTGAGAGAAGGGAGCAAGGGAAAGGTCAAGAAGGACCAGGACATGCAGGGCTCCATAGATCAGGAGTTTGTTCTTTATCTTAGGAGCTGTGGCTGTAGAGTGGCAAATGTGTTTGACCCCGGGTGATTGCCAAGAAATCACCCTATCATTTAATAAGCAACGTAACATGTATTATATGTTATTTCATAGTAAATAAGTAAATGAATAATAACCCTATAAGGTGTATATTGGTTTTTGTGACAGTACTAGGGTTTGAACTTAGGACTTTGTGCTTCTGAGGCTGGTGTTTTACTGCTTAAGCTGCACCTCCAACCCTTTTGCTCTGGTCACTTTAGAGACAGGGTCTCACTTTTTTTTTTTGTCTTTTTTGCCCAGGCTGGCTTGGGCTTTCTCGCTGTTGCTGGAATGACAGGAACGAACTACCACAGCCAGGTTTTTTTGTGTGTGGAAGTCTTCTCAGCTTTCCATGTAGCTTGGGATGACAGACACATGCCGCCTTACCCAGCTATTGGTTGAGATGGGTCTCATCAACTTTTTGCCTCAAACCTCAGTCCTCCCAGTCTCACCCTCCCAAGTAGCTAGGATTGCAAGCATGAGCCATCAACACTTGGCTAACATATTGATATCTTTATTTCATAGATGAAGAAACTGAAGCTCCAAGAAGTTTAAGAATTTGTTTTGTGTCACACACAGTTGCCAAATGGCAGAGTCTGAATTTAAACTCAGAATTGCCTGCCTCTAAACATGCCTTTTGTGCTGTGCATGATGGAAGACAGTGCTGTGGAAGTCATGCTCTCAGCAGCCGGGTAGCCTGTGTCTGTGCTCAGGCCTGCCAGTATGACTCCCTTCACAGTGCTGAGCCAGCAGAAGCTTCTGGCAGCTCAGAAAGTGGTAGCTGAGGTTTTGCTCCATGACTTCAGCTCAGTAGTACCTCAACTTTTCTCATGGCCTCTTTCTGCCTGCCCCCACCTCCTTTTAGAATCACATAATAGGAAAAGGGAATTTCAGAGTTGAGTTCTTTTTCTAATTGTATTTTTAATTTACAAATAATTGTGCATGTAAATGGGGTTCAATGTGCTATTTCTACATATATATACTTTGTGGAATGATAATCAGGCTAATTAGCATATCCATCACCTCAGCTATTTCTTCGTGATGAGAGCATTTGAAATTCTCTCTCAGCTATTTTGAAATCCACATCCATTATTTTTAATTGTAGTCACCATGTTGTGTAATAGAACACAAGAACCTGTTCCTCTAACCAAATTGCCCAGTGTCTCCCCTTTCTCCCACCCACATCACCCTCCTCAGCCTCTAGTAACTGTCATCCTATTCTACTTCCACAAGTTTGACATTTTTAGAGTTTGTATGTAAGTAAGATCATATGGTATTTTTCTGTGCCTGGCTTACTTCACTTTATTATTGAAATGACTATATCATCCAAACCAATTTACAGATTCAGTGTAATCCCTATCAAAATTCCCATGTCATTCTTCACAGCAACAGAAAAAGTAACCCTAAGACTCACATGAAACCATAAAAGACCCTGAATAGCTAAAGCAGTCTTGACTAAAAAGAAGAAAACTGGAGTTGGATGTGGTGGCTTCTACAAACCTATAATCCCAGCTACTGAGGAGGCGAAGATCAGGAGGATTGTGCTTTGGGGCCAGTCAGGGCAAAAAGTCAGCAAGACCCCATCTCAACAGATAAGCTGGGCTTGGTAGTATATTACTAATCCCAGCTATGCAGGAAGTATAGATAGGAGGATTGGAATCTGATGCCCATCTAGGTAAAAAGCACAAACTCTAAAGCAAAAAGCGGTGGGCTATGACTCAAGTGTTAGAGCACTTGTCTAGCAAATGCAAGGCCCTGAGTTCAAACTCCAGTACTGCCAAAAAAAACTGGAGACATCACACTATGAGATTTCAAAATATATTATGAAGCTATAGTATCCAAAACAGCACAGCACAGTATTAACATAAAAACAGACACGTTGACCAGCATTGTACTTTTGTAGGCAGATCCCGTCTTTTCCTAGTGCTGTTGTGGCTTTGCCTTGTTGATATTGTTAGAAGTATTGAAAGAAAGACTTACCTAGTGAAGTAATTTCTGAGGTGCATTTTTCCTCATGTCTTGTGCATATATCCCCACAACTCTTTCAAGGAGACTTTACCACGTGTCTTGGTTTTACTTATTACACTGTAGCTTACTCGTTTAGAGAATGTCTGCCTTGGCTGGTTTCAGGGCTGGAGTCTGCATGGGATCTCCTTGGAATCTACTCTGCCTACTGGACAGTGCAACTAACTTGAGTTCCCTTCAGCTTAGAGTGACACTTGGGAGAATGCAGTTACAGAGCTGGGTGAGCAGCAATCAGAGGTTTGTTAAGGAGGAAGCATGAGAGAAAGAGATTTTTAACTTACAGAGTTAATAGAACATTCTCAGTGTGGGGATTTCTATGCAAGTACCAAAAATAATAAGATACATTGATTTGGAATTTTCTTTCCAGTTGTTTATGTGAAATATCTCACATCTGAGTACAAATATGCTGAGTCTAAAGTACAAACTGTTTTGTGATAAGTAATGTAAAAATGTTTTCACTTGAGCTTGGTATTTCTGGACTCTTTGAGAGGCCATTGGGGTGCTTAATAGCTTATGTACAAGCACAGAAGATAAAATTTGGGGTGTGTTCTTTTTTTAACACTCAGTTTTTATGTAATATTATTTTTCTGGTTATGCTAAACAAAATATGGTCACCATAAAATTTGGAAAACATGAAAAAGGATTAAATTTTGAAAAGTTCTCTAGGGTTTTACTACCTAGATATAACCACTGTTAGCATATTTTTGGTCTCTGTGTAGGTGTGCAATGAGTAGTGGTCTGCAGACTCCTTGAAGTGTATGTCAAATGTGTTAGGTATGTATGTTTTTTGGGGGAATAATTTCTTCAGGTTCTCCAAGGGGCTCATAATGCCTAAAAGCTTAATGGGATTTTGTTTAATTTTTCAATTAAAAGGGGCAATACTCTATATTCTATTATGTTACCTACTTTTGTCTTTTTGAGCAATAGACAACTAGTTTTGAACTGGTCTGATTCTCATCCCACTTCTTCACACAAAGATTTATTGAAGAGCATGTTTCCACAGAAGCAAGCAGGTAGGGCCATCTCTTGTGCCTGCTTCTGGAAGTGTCTGTACCAGAGAGCAGGTGGGTGTACTTCTCTAGGGAAATGACCCTAGAAGCCTGTCTCCTTGGAGACACACCAACTAGTCTCCATGTGGCAAACCTAGTGTCTACAGCTGAAATAGCCACTTAAGCCCCCCATGAAAAGGCCTGTGCCTCTAACAGGCAGTAGTGTATACCAACTGAATCATTAAACAAAAATACACACCCCAAATTCTATCTTCTGTGTTTGTACATTAGCTATCAGTCACCCCATAAGTTTTCCAAAAGCCCAGGCATGCCAAGCTCATGCCCTGTCTGAAACTCACTGAGATATAACAAGGTTTTAGAAGCATTGTGATGTGAGGGAAACAGCTTGGATTTCAGGTCTTATGCCAATTCTGGGCCCTCAGTAAGTAATGTTAGCTCCCTGGATCTCATGTTTCTCTGTAGAGTAGGTGGCTTGAAATCAGTGGTACTGAAATGATTCATCCAGCTGTAATCTAGTATTTTGTGATGCTGTGATGCAAATCTACGAAGAAAGGTTGAAAATTAAAAACTCAGTGGCGAGAATACCTACTGCATTGTCATAAGATTAGAGGAAAAAGTGATGACCTCTTTCCATTTTAATATATTTCACCCTTTTTTGTTCTTTAAAAAGCAGTTTCAGTCTGCTTGGTTTTGCATGGTTGTCTGATTCACATTCACTGTGCCTGCTGCCTGCCTTTTGTAGTGATGGTAGTTAGTGAGACCGAATGTCTAAACTGAGCTTGTCATCTTTCAGGCACAATGAAAGCATCTGCCTCCTAATTCTCACAGCATGCTGGTGCCAGTGCTATTATTATTAAGCATTTCAGTGACATTTCATTGTTGCATAGTGCTTTATAATTCTTAATTGGTTAGACTCTCCAATCCCCAGATAAAAATTTAGTGTACTAATGGGGAAACTGGCGTACAGAGCCCAAATGATTTGGCCGAATGTACCTTTTCTTTTCAGCTTTCTTTTTCTACAGTCATCAGAGAGGATTCTGAACCTTCCTAGAGATTGTCTTTAGCACGTTCCTGCTGTGAATTTATTGTAAGCATTTGCCATGACCCTAATGACCCCCTCACCTCATGCTTTTA